AAGCAAGGGCATTGAGTCAAAAGACTGATGAAGAATTACAAAGACTGAAAAGAGAAAGGCAAAAAAGAAATGGAGAAAATATGGAAGGAAGACCATTCTGTGTGACCTCCATTATATATAGTACAGCGAGATACAGAGGACAAATTTGAAGGCAATATGTGTCTGATGGGAAGCAACACTTCCCATAAAAATAGCATAAAAGATCAAGCCTTCAGGGAACACACAATTTGAATGCTCAACGTGTTTAGAATAATCAAACAAGAACTGAAGACAAAACATCTGACTATCGAACGCAGTAGACCATCATGCGTTGTTAGCCTAAATCAAGACAATTATTTGGCTATAAAATATTGCTTTACGCGGTAAAACTTTAAAATATCAAACCCACACTGCAGTCCTATGTCTGCAATGCGCTGCCAGCATGTTGGGTAATATATCCCCCCGCCGGTTTGTTGGCACAAGTAACAATCACTCAAGTAGAGTCACTCTGCAGCCAAGACTGGGAGGCCGTGGTTGTAATGGGAAAGTTCCAGTTTTGAATGCATGGAGCTATATGTCTGTGGCACTGCCAAAATGCTGCATTTATAGTCAGTAAGTTCCCCCAGGATAAATAATTGTTAGAAAAAAAAGTCGCTTTAAGTTTCTTTTGAACTTGCCAACACATTCTCAGAGTAAACAAAGGCCACATTTGAATTACTTTGATTTAGAGGACACAGACCTCCCTGTGTGCTGTTGCAATGAGAGAATATATAAATCCATATTCATTTGATCTCTTAGATACATGCCTAAAGTCACTGTGCAGTTCACCTTGAGTGATCTGGTGAAATCCATACATGTATCAATGAAGTATTGTGCTATTTTGTTCATGTTAAGCAATATAATTAAAAGGTGTCAGAACATTTCAATATATTTACACTATAAATAAGAAATATCAAATAATAGCCGTTAGCTATATGGTATAACGGTCACTTTAATAGTTCTAATGGTTACAGATACCAAAGGATGTTTCATCACTATTACAGTACAGGACATATCACTGTAATACCTGCTGCATGACTTTGGTCTTGCCCTACAGTAGAGTGCCTTAAAAAACAAGAGGAATATGAGCTATTCAGGAGTCGATATTTATTACTCTCTTTATGGAACAATATTAAATGCAGTTACAGCCCCCAAGGGAGAGAAAAAGAGATAGACAGAGAGAGAGAGAAAGTGAGATAGCAGTAGTGGTCGAAAAAGAAAGTGAGGGGAAAAGAAAGAGATGAAGAAGAGAAGTGGGACGCGAACCATTGAAGGTGTCTCAGGTTTAAAAAAAAAAAAATACATTTTGCCCCCTCTGTCTTCCTTCTCTGTCCGTTTACTCCTGTTCCTCTCCTCTCTCTTTTTTCATCTCTCCCCTGGAGCCCAGCCAAGGGTCATCTCTTTTCTTTATTCCCCGTCGCCCTCCTTTTAATAAAAGACAGAAACACACAAAGATGCATGCTTTGCCGCCCATCCGCTCTCACTTGCCTGCTGTTTCTTTCACGCAGAGACACACAAATTCTAACTGACACATGGATCCAAACCTCCGCCGACCTCCTTGTCATCTCCGTCTTACTGAGACCTCCTGTGACGCCATCTGAGATCAAAATCATATGATATCAAAGAGGCATGTTTCCACTCCCCCTCTCACAGGTTAATGGTTCATAGTGGACCTTTGCTCATATCTGAACGAACCTGAGGGCGTATCCATCTAATAACTGGTGTCCACTGTCGGATAGAAAAAGTGTAGGGGTGACACAGCCTGAGGGAAACGTTCATTTGATCTGTGTGGAAATTGAGAAAGAAATATATGTGTTTGCACTAGTTATGTTTTTATATCTGCATTTGTGTTGCTGAGGCTTACGGGGACACAAATGTGTGTTTGTCTGCACTATTTGTGTGTAATGAGTCCCCATATGTGTGTTTGTCTGTGTGTGTCTCTGTGTGCGTGAAGGGGTTAACCGTAATATCCAAAGAGTGGCAAAGGATGACCTGGCTAGTGTTATTATTCTCCTCTCATGAATAATGGAACTTAATATGGAGGAGGTGATCGCCAGGAGCACACACACACACACACACACACACACACACACACACACACACACACACACACACACACACACACACACACACACACACACACACACACACACACACACACACACACAGAGGAAGATCTTGCTGTCATCCTCAATCCCTCCAGACTTTTAGGGGCCACAGAGAGTCAGCATGCCCAGGAAGGAGAGGCCTTGGCTGGGTAAATGGAGGGTGGGGGGTCTGTGTGGTGAAAGGGGAAGGTCTGAATGACATCTGGTCAAAATGTAATCAATCATACAGTACTTAGAAAGCCATTAAAAACATTGAGGGAATGATAAAAGACCATGTTTCTTCCTCCTGCCGTTTGTTTTCAACTCTTCTTTCCTCCATGAAAACTGAACTCGGATAACTGAACGTTTGCGTCATCAGTTGCGTATTGAGATTCCAGTTCCTCAAAATATATGCAGTTGTTTTCACAATCTCTACCACTATAATTTACAGAATTTGTCATCGTAATGGAACTGATGTATAATTCAAACAGCCATCCGTTTCTTTACTGTAATATAATTTGTAGGAGATGAATTGCCAGCTCTTTCAAACGCTGTGGCAATAGAGGGGGACCAAAATGGCTTAATCCAATACATGAAATGTGGGAGCAGATCGCTACACACTGCTGTACTGTACAAACCATCCAGCTTTCCAAATGAGTTTGTGTGTGTGTGTGTGTGTGTGTGTGTGTGTGTGTGTGTGTGTGTGTGTGTGTGTGTGTGTGTGTGTGTGTGTGTGTGTGTGTGTGTGTGGGTGTTATTCTATCATTGAGTGTCCTTTTCAAGTACCGCAGGCCAATCTCCTGTTGGTTATAGTCTTCGCTCTACTCAAAGGTCGGCAGGTATGACTCACAGAGAGATGGGAGGAGGACAGCTGTTTACATGAAAACATGACGTGAATGTGTTCATCAGAGACAATACATTATCATAGAGTAAAGAGCTATTTTCAATATCCCCCGAGTACATGAGGTTACATCAAAACAGTGCCAAATGGCAGCTATCTGCTTGTCCCTGAAAGCCTATTTTCTTAATCAGGTTTATACCATGAGCAAAGGGTTCACATTTCCTGCCAAAGTGATAGCAGCCTTTTTCTCACTCACTTATTGTATCCTGTCATTGTGGTTAAAATCAAATGTTTTACTTTTTATCCCAATAGAATGTTGATGAGGTGTCCATCTTCTGTTTACACCTCCCAAAATATCCCCCAAATCATTTCCATAGCCCTAGAGCCATTGTACAAATGGACAAACAGTAACCACCAGTATGATGAAAACTTAATACAAGCCTTGTGACATATGAGTTTTATTATGGGGGCCTAAACTGTGGACTCCCGGCGCTGTTGTCAGTCACTCAGCTGGAGTCATAAAGACAGACACAGAGACACACAGTCTCATAATAGCTTTTATTTGACTTGGATGACTTTCCTTCTGTTAGAAGCAATAACAAATAAATATCATGGTGGGTAAACAAAACAATAAAAGATTTATTAGCCATGGAACTCCTTATGAAATATGACTTTCAAATAAGTTTGTTTCTTCTTGTCATTGTCATGCTTTTTTTCACATTCATTTGATACTCTTTTCAGCACACCACAAGTAGACTTAAATACATATTCATAGCATTTTCTTTTTGGTATTTCAACAGCGATAATTGAGAACGATTAGAAAAGAAAAAGATAGAGTGAACAGCTTTGCTTTCTATTTGCTTAGTCAACGTCATCATGCAGGCAAGAAAGACAACAAATAATGAAACAAATGAAACCTTCTTCCTGAAAAATAATAGTCTAAACACATGGACTATTTTCCAGGCGTGCTGCAGATTAAGATATCATTACGCCAGTCCTGTCCGTCACATGTTTGCCACTTGTGTGCTCCTTCGTTACCGCAATCGCCGAGCAAAATTGCACATAAAAGCACATATTTTCTTTGCATAAAGAATATACGACGCCAGGCACATACTTTTCCCATCAAGGTTTGTGGAGAAAAAAACGCTAATCTCTTGTCAGACAAAAGGAATGAGCCAGAAAACACAGGGCTCAAAGGGAAATGTCCAAAATGATGAAACTTTGTTAGTTTGAGGAAATTAGTTTTCTGTTTTCTGAGCACGGCTTGCCAATTAACATTCACAGCCCTAATACAAGTCATAATGCACAACCAATTTTCCTCCTGTGTACGTGAATTTATGCATGACTGTAAATTAGCTGGCATAAGCATACAGTATGTGTTTATTTCAATGTATATGTGTGTTTGTTAGTTGTGTGTGTACTGGATTGAGGATGACAGCAAGATCTTCCTGTGTGTGTGTGTGTGTGTGTGTGTGTGTGTGTGTGTGTGTGTGTGTGTGTGGGGGGTGTGTCTGTGTGTTCTCTGGTTTCTCTGAATAGATTATTATTTTTTCCGCTACAGCAGTGTTGCGCTGTTGGAGGGCTTTAGTGGGGAAAACTAACTTTTACACACACACACACACACACACACACACACACACACACACACACACACACACACACACTGGTCTTTCTATGTATCTGACTATCTGCTTTTCCCCTCCAATGCCTCTCTATTAATGACACACATGGAGACAGGCACACACACACTTCAAGGCAGTATATGGATTCATGCCAGCAGTATTTCTGATAGTTCCTATTGTCTTTGAAGCTCTTTGCACCAAATTGTTCCACTGATCATAAATGTCATATCATCCTCTCTCTCCCTTTCTCTCCATCTCCTCCTCCGTCTTTGCCTTTGTACTGTAATTGAATGTGTGTGTGTGCGTGGTTGTGTATCTGTGTGTGTCATATATTAACATGTTTGTGGTTTTGTTTAAATGCTTTGATTCCATATATGTGTGAGTGCTTGGAATACCTCAACTCATTTCCTCTGTGTCTCTTTCTCTCTGCAGAGACCTCAGCGAGAACCAGATCAAGGCGGTTCCACGGAAAGCTTTCAGAGGAATTACAAATGTCAAGAACCTGTAAGCACAATCACTTTGTCTTCCTTCTTTCCCAACTACCCGTTTAGAGGTGCTTTTGTGAGCATCCACCTTCTCTCTGACTTTCTAAGGCGAATTCGTCTCACAACATATTCGTTAATTCTCCTTCACCAGCTGGTGACTCACTTGCTACAAACTTAGCCAGGAGATTTATTTTTAAAATCCAAAAGTTGTCAGACATATCAAACATGTCAGGCTTCATTTTAGGGAAATGTGTATAATATAAAGCCCAGGAATCTTTCCAATCAATGGAATGGTGCAGCCATAAAACTATCAAGAATGTGGTTTTAAATGTAGCACTCAGTGTAAACATTATATATACTGTAGGTATGTGTTACTGTCAGACTGTTGGCCCAACTTTATAGCTATAAAAGGGCGGGGGGATTTGCATATTTTGAATTGTATCACAAGAAAATTCTTATTTATTAGACATGGCATCAAATCTTATTTCGGAAACACATATTTAGTTTAGATTACTTTCCCCTGATGTGTCTGTTATTTCCATTTGACTCAATTTATCATTCTGCTTTTCACCACTTCTCCCTTTTCCTCCTCACCTTCTCTAATATTCCCACTTTTCTCATCTTATTCCTTTTTTATTATCTCTCTCTTCTCTCCTCCTGTCCAGAGAGGTTTTCTCGTCGCATCAAGCGCTCAATACCCCCCTGTCATTTATTCATGACGTCCTAATCCCCAATAGTGTGATCAATACGCTGGCCAATCAATGCTTCCCATCGATAATAGCTGATCAATCCGGCCTGATGCTGCATAGGAATCTACTAGACAGACTCTTGGGGGTTAACAATGTCCTCAAAGCGAGAGAGTTCGATATAGAAGAAATCAGCTTTGCTCAACAAATCTCCTCTTTGTAAATTTGCAATTGTGTTTTATCAGTCATGACTGACATGACGGAGGAGTGGGATGGAGGATGGGATAGAAAAACAGAGCAGGGTATTATAACTACATAATGCAAAAAGATAATAATCCATCCTTCTGAAAGCCTCATTTCACAACAAGAGATGTAGACTGTGTAAAGGAAAACAAATAATGAATATGCTTTAGCTGAATGAAATAGTAAGTTGAATAAAGGGAGAGGATTGTAATCATATTATACAGGCTGTCTTTAGTTGGGATCCCATTGCAATGTGAACAAACAATAACAAACACACTTTTTGTACTCATGCCATGTATGTGAAGAATATATACAAGACTGCATTTGGTTATACAAATATGTTAAAAAGAACCACAACTTAGAAGCAAACAAATCACCAATTACATCAGATTGGTCATATTGTTGTTACCAACTATATTTGTCATTTGTATCAACTGGACTGGTGCTGGGTGAAAATAAATAATATATTCCACTTTGTTGTGCCAATCACGATGTCATAAGAATAAAAGATCCACAACAGCTACAAAATAAAAATGAAGTGTGGTGAAATTGCTTTTTAGCTGCAGTTTGCCGACAAATAAGCAAACACCATGTGCTAAAAGTGATATATCATAAAAAAGCTCCAGAACAGCTAATAAATGATAAATCATGTGGTGAGATACATTATTTTTGGTAAATTCCAGGTTTGGATTGCCACAGTTAACCCAACAGTTCTCCCCACAAGCAAAGACACTGCTTAGCTAAACTAACCAAGCATTTGTATATTCAATTACAGCAAGTAGTTGGATATCTTTCAGACATCCATGTTATCACACTTTAGTTTGAAGTAATGTGTCCTTGAATCTTCGAGATTTGTGTGTCTAGCACTTTTTCAATTTGGGCAATTAGTAGAATGATTAGCATGCATCTTGCTTCAGATTTAACAGTATTTCAGAGTTAGGTGACAGCCAAGAGTGCTCTTCAGGTTAGAAAACTCCCAAGTGTGATGTAAATTAAATATGGCCACAGGAGAATATTACCATTTATTACTCCTAAGTGAAATGGACCTGAAAGTTGCTGTACATCTTCTCCATTCAGTTTGTTGGATGTGCATGTGTGGTGATTGCATGTGTGTACAGTAAGTGAAGGAGTGTAAGACCTCATGGCTTTGCTCCAAACCTTTGGGTTCAGGTTGGTCCACTTATGATCCATTCTCCATTCTCAAATTGGGCACAATCCAAATGAAATGCTACACAATGTCGTTACCCTCACTCGAGTATTTTACAACTATTTAAAGTGTAGTGCCAGCTAACAGAAATCTAATCCTAGTTTCAATGTATCTTCAACCATATATATATTCCTCCGGTGTAGGTTATGCTGACCATGCAAGCTCTATATCAGTAATACCCTGTCACATTCATTCATTAACACACATTTACACTTGAGAGCCGCCCATTAACCACAGTGTCCCACAGGCTGCCCATTGAGCAGCTCCAATAAACAGCAGGTACAATTCAATATGAGTTTCCAGATGTTTCACATTGGATATACGCCACTCCCTGCCCTTACAGCTGTAACACAAGACTCAGTGCTAACACGGCCGTAACCCTGTCTGCCAAAGCTATAAAGTCACATCAATCAAGTTTGACGGTAAAATTGTCTCTTCTCTCACTAAAATGTTTTGCACTAAATTGCTTTGACCTACAAAGTGAATCATTTAACTTTTATTCTGCCAAATTTAGAGTGACTCAGGCTTCTATAGATCTTCCACTTTCTTTTTTGACGTTTTACAGCAACGTCCTCCTTCTCCTCTTCCTTATTCTCCTCATCTTTTTTTTTTTTTACAAATTTCCCCTTTTTTACTCCATCAATGTTTCTCTCCCTTTCAAAATGTCTTGTGCTCCGTTCCCTCATCTGCCATTACATCTTTATCCTTTCCCCTCTCTCCCATCATCCATTTCTCTTCCATTCTCTTATCCCATTAGCTGTCTGTCAATCTGTTTTCTTTTCTTGTCTTTCTTTCTGTAAATACTTTTCCATTTTTTCGATATCCATCTTTCTTTCCTTTTACTTCTTCTCTCCATCCATCCATCCATTCCTCCTCCCTTTCTCCTCTTAACTAGCCCTCTCCATTCAATATATTTGTCCCTCTCTCCCACTTTTCCTCAGTATTTCCCTCTGTTTCTTCTCCCACCCTCCTCCATCCCTCCACCCCTCCCTCCATTAGACAAGGTGACTCCTGCAGTAAAAGGCGCCAACCCTCCATTATACCACAGAGTAAAAAAACCTTCATGACATTCTGTCCCTGGTGGACACAGCATTGATTTTCCCGTATGTCTCTCCACCCCCCTCTCACTTTGTCTCTGTCTCCCCTCGTTCTCTCTTTCTCCCCTGTCTCTCTCACTCACTCCAAATCTGTGTCTCTCTGCCTTTCTGTCTCACCAGCTAGTTTCTCAGAGGGTACCGTCTTTATCTCACTCTCTTTCTCGGATGTTCCCTTTCAAGCTGCCTGGTGGCTAGCATACTATCCATTTATTGCACTTCTTTCACACATGCACACACACACTCTCACACACAAACACACACACACACACACACACACACACACACACACACACACACACACCCTTTCGACCCTACCATCAGATTGACTGCTTTGCTGAAACTGCCAAGAATCTGGCAAATATGATTACTGTATTCTATTGCTAACCTAAGGTGACAGGTATATGCCATACATCTGTGTGTAGGTGTTTGTGTGTGTATAATGCATGCTCGTCTATACATTGTGCTGACTGCTGGTCCTGTCATTCCCAAAAACCCAACCTGTCAGTCAAACTATAAATGATAAAGGGAAATGTAGAGTTCGAAAAGGCAGAAAGCACTGTGTCAGAATTCCTACACTCGACATCATGTCTGGAGGCTTATTTTATCACATCTAATCTTATTTAATCTGATTTTCCATAATCTAATCTTGTTTTTATCATGTTTTGTCTGGTCATGTCTTGCCAGAAAAGTCCTATTGTTAACAACATTCGTGCATTTCCGATATCGTGTTTTTCTACATTATTCTTACTCCTCTCTTTGACCTAAAACCATTAGCACTCCAGCTAATTTAGCTACATGCTAATGATTGATGTTGTGTGATTTCAAAGATATAAAGAGGATTATTTCTGAAAGGTACATTTACCTCCTTATGCCATGTTTCAACGGACACTGAGTGCAATAAATAAATAATAAAAAATACAATTCAACAATTCACAACACTGTTTCAAGTGTTTCAAGTACCCTTCTTAAATGACAACTCGTTAAATTCCCTCGGGGTGCAATTTGAGGAAAATTAGTTTGCAAACATTTCGAACATCAGCAAACGATTAATACTCACATTTAAAATGAATAATGCATAACAGTAAAACATCAAATGAAGAGAGAAATCAAATCAAATTGGAGTGCTATTTACTAACACACCATAACATACGATCAAATAGCACTAAAACATAATCATAAACATTCACTCATTTGTTTGGAAAGTGTTTACACATTTTAAGTTTTGCAGACTTTTTTGACGATTGAAAACAACAACAACCAAAAACACAAATACAGAAACATAAAAAATGAAATACGGTGCACCAAGAGTCAAGAAAAACACAACATGTCTTAATGTCATGCAAATGTTGCTATCTTATAGAGAACACAAGATAAGTGTACAGAAAACAATACACTACATAATAGTGATAGCAAACTTATGCTTAGCCATACTTTCTTGAAACTCATATAAAGGTTTTACTTCAATATTCAGTAGCTTCTGCAAATCTTCCTTTTTACGGTGAGGAGAAGCAGAGATAAATGTGATCAGCCACAGATGCTGTGTGTACTGTTGTATTCACGCTTAAGTCACAACACATGTGAGTCAGTGGTGCTTCGAGGCATGTAGCTGTCGATGGCTCACAGAGAAGCATGGACGCATCAGATAAGATACAGCTGTTTCATATGCCCTCACATTACACCTCGGTGCCCACAAAGACACGCTCTTTATCTTCCGTCGCCATCACGTCCTCATATTCTACCGTGTGTTCCATCTGCCTGGCTTTTCGCTCTCTTACACATTTTCTTT